CCCTGCAGATGTGGTCATATGACCCTAGACAATAAGAATGTAGTGTGCTCCAACCTCCAGGGATGGATACCACACACCCAGAGTCACTGAAATCACCCCAGAGCTTTTTCTGTGAATGTTGAAAGCAGAAATTCTATCTTTCCACTGGGATTGCTGAGAAAATAAAAATAACCTGGGAGCTACTGGGAGCCATCTTGACCTCACAAGGAAGAGCCTACCTGAGAATGGAGACAGAAGAGAGAAAAGCAAGAGAGGCCATGGAGAAAACAAGGCTTAGATACTGTGATGGACATTGAGAGCTTTGTCCCAGCTCTACTTGAAGGCAGGCCTTATCCCCTGACCTCCAGGGCCTTCAAATACATTAGGTCAGTAAAGGTGGCAATATTATTAGACCATCTAAAGCAATAGCTTTTTCTGTCAGTGACTAATTTTCATAGTCAAATGTCTTTACAAGGACAATGTGCTCCAGCTCTAAGCTGTCCTCCCTTGATAACTCGAGGGCCCAGTTTTTGCTATGTCATTCAGTCAATAAGCCAATATTTCCCACTTTTTGCTTAAGTTACATTTTGTGCCACTTGTCACCATGAGTTTTGATTGACGTAATTATGTGTCATGAACAACTTTGGTGGTTTAAAGCCTATATTCTGGTTCTTTTTGTAAGAAATTAGAAATACAATTTCAGGCACCTTTAAAAAAATCTTTAGATGACATTTGCATTGCCAATGAAATTGCTGATGTAGGAATTTTACTTAACATCATTAGTGATGTCATCTATATTACTCAGGGCCCAGGAATCATACCAGTTAATGTAACAAAGAATTTAGTATCAAGAACCATTAGCAAGGTGGAAAGAACTGTTAACTAGATAACTAAAAAGACAGATAGAGAACACTAAGGTGTCCCATAGGAGCACTAAACTAGTACAGCTATCACCACTAGGGCTGAGAGAAAACAGGAAAATCATTAAAACTTGAAAGCTTAGAGGAAGGGACTTGTGGTGCTGAGCCTGAGACCTCACATGAGGGTACCTGCTGGCTGGCACTGCTGTCTCTGCGAAGGGTGTGATACGGTTCCTTCAACACGTATTAAAAGAAAACCACCAACCAGATTCTAGTCTTTGTATGGTAGGTCAAAGAAATGTCCTGGGTCAAAGAGCAAAGACAAGAAATCCAAAGAGAGGATGAGTTGCATCTTCCCCTTCTGTCTCCAGTCTGTCTCTGGCACCCCACATGGCGAAGCCTGTGTTGACCCAGCAGCAAAGGACTAACATGGCTTCCGGAACAGAGGGGTGGGCTGAAAGCTGAGTCAGTAGCTTAGTAGCTGGCACTTGGTCCAGCAACCTAGCGGGTCCAGCAATTCTGAGATAAAAGTCAGGGTGCATGAGAAGATTAAGGACAAAGGTCAGGGTTCATGAGAAGATGAAGGACAATAGGAACAACAAGATATTGACACCCAGAGAAGTAACCTCGTGCTTGACTGTCCAGGAAATGCTGAGAAAGACTGTTTTCAATGCAAAGAGGTTTCGTGAGTCCTGGGAGCAAGCTCTGCTGACATATCAGTGTAGCAGAAAGTTCAATAGCTAAGTAAGCAAAGACATCAAAAACACAAGTGCTGTGATGGGGTCCGAATCTCTACCGTCCTCAGCTCCCCGGGTCATGACTGCAACCTGCACAAGGGACTTCCACTTTTTTAGTGTAAGCTAGGAATTATTTGCCACCAGGTTCAAAATTGAAGTTGAAAAGTTAGTTTTATCTTTTTAAATAAAAGCCACATATATTCAATTAATGTCTTTTAATCTATTAACTCAAGCAGAACACTGTAAAATGGCAGACCTCTGAATGGACTATTTTTCTACTCAGTACAATCTATGAAGAATAAGTGTATTCTAAAACCCTAAATGAAGGTAGGGGTTTTATTTTGCTCTGTTTTTATTTTTTGCCCCTCAAAAGATGCATGTCTCATTTTTCTGGGAGACAGTCCTGGTGCAGCACAGCTCTGCTTGCATGTGGGTTGTCCAGCTATCTAAGTCTGGGTAGTTTAGATAAGAATGAGTGGTTTTGGGCCGGGCGCGGTGGCTCAAGCCTGTAATCCCAGCACTTTGGGAGGCCGAGGCAGGTGGATCACGAGGTCAAGAGATCGAGACCATCCTGGTCAACATGGTGAAACCCCGTCTCTACTAAAAATACAAAAAATTAGCTGGGCATGGTGGCGTGTGCCTGTAATCCCAGCTACTCAGGAGGCTGAGGCAGGAGAATTGCCTGAACCCAGGAGGCAGAGGTTGCGGTGAGCCGAGATCGCGCTATTGCACTCCAGTCTGGGTAACGAGCGAAACTCCGTCTCAAAAAAAAAAATAGAAACTAAGAATGAGTGGTTTTTAGCCAGACACGGTGGCTCACACCTGTAATCCCAGCACTTTGGGAGGCTGAGGCGGGTGGATCACGAGGTCAAGAGATCGAGACCATCCTGGTCAACATGGCTTGAAACCCCTTCTCTACTAAAAATAGAAAAAATTAGATGGGCATGGTGGCGCATGCCTGTAATCCCAGCTACTCAGGAGGCTGAGGCAGGAGACTTGCCTGAATCCAGGAAGCGGAGGTTGTGGTAAGCTGAGATCACGCCATTGCACTGCAGCCTAGGTAATAAGAGCAAAACTCCGTCTCAAAAAAAAAAAAAAAAAGAATGAGTGGTTTTTTTAAAATTCAGCCTAATTTAGTGATTTAATGCTGTCTTCTTCCTGGGGGATTTCAAAGGTGAAAGATGATGGGGCAATATGTTCAGAGCATTTTTGTTGTCTCCAATACCCAGACAGTCAGGGCATAATCTGCCATTTCTGCTGACAAACAGGGCACTGGGTGGGGACACCAGGCCAATGCACATGTGCCTGGGTGGGTCCCAGGTAGAAGAAGGTCTGATTAAAGTCCATTCACTTAGCAGTCCCCTGTTCCCTGGGCCTCCAAGTGCATTAGATCACTAAAGGTGGAAACACGATTAGGCCACCTGAAGCAATAACTTTTTTCTATCAATGACTAATTTTCATGTTCACACGTCTTTACAGTGACAATGAGCTCCACTGTAGGCTGCCCTCCCTGCTAACTCAGGGACCCAGCTTTTGCTAAGACTTCAATGACCTTACGCAATTATCTGGAGAGTTTTGCTGACCTTCATTTCAATCTCAGTGGGTGTCAAAAAATTGCTTTTCATGGTATTTAGTAATTTTGGTCTCTAAACGCTGCATTTTTTTTCAAAGAACTTATAGGGTTATGAACTTTGCTCTAATCTTCTATGTGCAGAAGAGCTGATAGCACACTGCTTATTTCCTACAGTGCTGACACTTCTAGTTTAATGCTAGGGATATTTTTAAGTTCTTTGCCTCTCAGTATTTCAAAACACTTGGAGTTTCCATCCTGATTTCCTCTAAGTTCAAATGTCTATTTGTTTTAACACCAAAAGATACCTTAGGATTACCTGGGGATGCAATCATGTTGATCGTAAATGTATTCTAAAACAAAGAAATTACACCTTTGGATAGTTTCCCTGAATACTGGCCACAATCAGGTTCGTTACACATACACTCCAGGTGGGATACTGGAGTAAGCTGTGGGATTCAAGGTGCACGACTCAGTTGCCACCACTGAAGACAAGACTGTCCAGTTGATTACCTGAGATAAAACAATTCAATGTTTAAACAGCATTAACTCTAGAAATAGGAGCTATTGCACTAACCAAAGGATGACTTCCAGAGAAATACATTTTGTAATCTAATCTACTCGCTGCCTTTGGAATATGCAAATCCGCTACTTCCTAGAGTTAATTTCAAACAAGATGCATTTCTTGAAAAAACTCTTTCTTTATTTTTGAAATAAATATAAAATATAACTTTATTATAAACTCCAGGAGGGGAGAAATACCAGAGTGGTGAGAGAGGGCAGGAGGCATGGGGAGAAGAACAGATGGATGAGGGACCTTGCATGCAATTTGCCCTCTGAGTTCCTTATCCTATTATTTCTACATCAGAAGGATCTCACATTTTCCCACTTAGAGGGAAATCTTCACCTAGATCCATGAGTCCTGTGAATATTTGGTCTTGTTCATTGTGGGCTCTGTGAGGGAAATAAATCTCAAAGAGAAGAAAGTTTAGCAAATCTATACAGATGAACCACTTTACTACCTCACAAGGTTGCCTGTCATTCTCACCCGTTCTCCCAATGTCCTGTCTCTGCAACCTGGGAACTTCCTAGATACAAGGACATCATCATAGATGTCTTATGGTACAATGTGGGCTTCCATAAATATCATATGTGTACACTGGATTAAATTCTTTAAAGCAAGTTATAATCCAAAAATAAGGCTTCTGAAAACTGAACAGGATACTCCTCTGGAACCTCATTCTTGTCTGAAATCTTTCATGAAATGAATTAACACTGCTCACTTAAAATTTAGAGTTAAGTCAGCTTCCTTCTTTGTGACAGCAGCAGTCAGGCACACTGAGGGAGCGATTCTTTGAGTGGATTGTTAATGTACTTAAGTTTCCCCTTCCTTGGCATTGTAAAACTGGATGAAGCAATTTGGAAAATCATGCTCTGTCCAATATGGCAAATCAGCAGCAATTTCTCAGTGTGTAGCCTCATTAGTAACCTAGAAAGGGGACAACCTGCTTCCTGGAGGATGTCCAGATGGCCAGGGTGGGGGCCAGGAGTCCTGGTGGATCTTAACACACCTGGCAGGCAAAGTCACTTAGTCATGCTTAATCCAGTCTCCCCTCTGCCCTCATCAAAAAGGAAGCTCCAGGAGCCATAATTAAAAACAGTCTGCGAGGGCCTATGGAAAACAACCTCTACTCCCAGCCCTAAGCCAGAATCAAGCAGCCATTGTCCCCATTCCAGAGGAGAAGAGAGAGCTGAATAGCACAGGTCCCTGAGAGCTTATGGGCCAGAGCTGCCTTCTCCTCCTCCGTAGGTAATAATGCCATGAGACACTTCTGTCTCTCAGAACATGGGAACAGAATTTGGTAAATTCAAATTTCTGGCCTTCATCAGTCCAGACAGTGTATATGTTGGCTCTTCTCAGTCACAGTTGATGCAGAGAATTTGGGAGACCCCCTACTGATATGATATTAAAAAACTTAAAATCTGAAAGCATTTACATTTTGTGAAAACTTTTTCACATCCACAAACGTTATTTCATTAGTTTCCAGGGTGACCCAATGTGAGAGACCGCTTCCTTTTGGCAGAGAAAAAGGAGCAAAGGAAACACTAAAAACAAGAGATATCAGTTGGCTTACTGGAGGGGCCCAAGAAAGTCAAGCTATTATTGTAGAAACTATCTCAAAAATTCACTAGGCTGTGTCCAGTGGGCAATGACTCAGCAGACCAGGATGTCCTGAGACTTGGAGCAAAGGCCATGAAGCAATATTGTGTAGACACATTCCTGCTCTGTTCTCTGGATACCACTATTCAATTGTCTGGGTCATGATTACACGGCTCCAAAGGCTCCCTGACAACAAATGCCTCCCAACAATTAAATGAGTTCTGACAATGTGGCCTTAAAGCACAGAATAGTGATCTTTCAACAAGGTCATCCTCTGTTTGGGCTGCAGAGAGAGTAATGGAATTGATTAGTAGCCATGAGGTAATGTGGGTCACCAAGGTGACAATACTCAATACTAAATATTGCCAGGGACCTACTGCCAACATTCAGCACAAACTGCAGCCTGATACTTAAGAACAGAGATTCACCCACAGCTCCCAGGAGGTGGACTGGCCACCCTCCCAATGCAGAAAGGACTGATGGGCTCTCATTCAGCTAGGAGGAGCTGAGTGGGAGGGTAAAGATGGTGAGGAAAGGTGCCATCTGGTCAACCTAGAATAATTTCCATGGTGAGAGGAAACAGCAATTCAGAGTCTAAATAAACTGTCAGCAGCGGGGGCCATTATGACAGGAAGAGTGGCCAGTAGGCTGCAGTGACAGGGAAAGCAGCTGAGAAATACCTGGACACAGAGGCCTGCAGACCATCAGCTCAATGCAGCCAGCAGTAAAAGACCAAGGTCCCCTGGGAACAGGGGCAGGACTACAGTGTCCAGAAGGGACAAATCCAGAAAGCATTCAGCTCGGAGGTCCTCACTAGCAGTCTCCCACACAGTGCAATAAGTTGCTGGCTGAGCTGCTGTCATCCAAGGGCTCAGCAGTGCTGGATGTCAAGGTGCTCATCAGGTGACAGAAAACTCAGTTCCATTCCAATTAAGTCTCTACATTGGATTTCTTGAGCTTTCTTAAGTCATGAGGACTACCTTCCAAAAGGGAGTCTCCCAAAAGGGAAGGTGTTGATGGTGAACACCCTAGGGGAATGGACATGGAAGCCACATAATCTCTTGTCACCTAGCTTTAGCTGTCCCAAGACATCACTTCCACTGCATTCTGTTGGCCAAGAAAGCCATGAGATCAGCTGAGATTCAAGAGGAGTAACAATGTATTCCGCCTCTTAAAGGGAAGAGTAGCAAAGAGTGTGTGGACATCTCTAATCTCCATATCATCCTTACTGGAGAGCATCCAAGTATGGCTGCCTAGGGCTACCTCCAAATTAATCATTTTGCATAAATGACAACAGATTCAGAATCCTTCAAAAGCTGCAAGACACCAATTTGTCCATGTATATGAACTTCCACCAATCCCAGACAGTCCCTGCAGATGCAGAAGAGATAGCACCAGCTTCCTTGTGGAAGTCCATTCCTTGTAAGATGGTACCCCTCCCCTCCACAGTCCCCACTGAGTATCACAAATACTTGTCATTTTCAATACCAGGCAGCTTGATAGATTTGCTTACTTGAGCCTACACTGATTTTCCAAGGGGAAGCTTCTAAGAGGGGTCATTGTCCATTCTTCCACACATGCCCCAGGATGACCGTCTTATTTGAGAAAAGGAGTTTGAGAAATTAGAGATGCATAAAATATGAGGTATTAAACCAGTTTAGAATTTTTCCTGGAAATGATTGAATTTATACTTTAAATACTGGACTTTGGGTAAATCCAAACTTGGTCCAGATATGAGAAAGAGGCCACTGAAAAGACACCAACCAGATTCATTAACAAAAATGGAGGCATTGCTGTTAGCTCTCCTTCCTCTCACCTCAAGAGCCGTGAGTTCCCACACTCAAAGCTGAGTTCATGAACACAGGAATGCTTTGTCTAGGGCAGGTTATTTGGATTTGACTTATTCTACACTGGGATTATAGAACTTGGTTTTGGAATCTGTTCAATCCTGGCACCATTTCCCTATGAAAATCAGGATTGGGCTAATATGTGTCTGCTGGGGTTGTTGCAAGAACGAAGATTTCATACATTAAAGCACTTAGTGCCTAGCACACAAACAGGATGACTCTGAACCTAACTGCCAGCCTGTTCTCCCAGCCATTGACTTGGCCCTGCCCCTGGCACCAGTGCTCTCTGAGCCAAGTTGATTCCTAAGTCCTGGGATACAGCTCCCAGGGACAAATGTAGTGGGAAAACTGCCAAAGATCAACACCCCTCGCTTTTGAACACTTCCTTTGTGTGTACACCATGTTTTCCTTTCTAGACATTTGCATAACATTTAATAAAATAAAACTTTTCTTCTAAATCCATGGTCAATATTGAGAATATGCTTAGATAACAGTATCTTTACAAAGTTTCCTTAGAAATTAATGTTACATTAATAGAACACGTAGCCACGAGGCACTTCTAGGATTAGTCTGGCTTATTCTGGAATATTCTAGTTTTGCTATTCATATCACCCTCTTCAACAGCCATTCACAATTTGCACTTTTACAAAAGACTAGTTCTTTAAAATATATTTATCATCATCCTAACCACCATATGAATTTCTCTATCTAACTATGGCTTATTTCAATAAAGGTCAGAAATACATCTTGTCATTTGGCTGCTACCATGCTTCCCAGCCTCTTAAACATTTTTTAAAGTTTCATGGTAGCCAGAGGAAATTATACTGTTCAGATCATTGACATAAATGTTGGAACTGCTAACAGCAAAAGCTGACGGGCCTGGGATCCAGCAGATCCATGGACTGAGGGAATCTAAAAGTGCATCCCAGCACGAAGGTGGGGAAGCTCCATTTTTGTAGACTGTCATTGGTGATCACTGATCAAGTGACAGGTGAGTACCTGCCAAAATTCGCCAGCTGCAAAGGACACAGACAATAGCACTGGGGACACTGGGATGGTCACATCATAGGAAATAAAGGATCAAAACCATCAGAGCAAAATACACAGCACAGACCACAGTAAAATTATGTGTTAAACTGCACATAACTTCTCCATGACACTGTGATGGAGCTGGGTAAGGAAGGCTCAATGAAGGAGGCAGGACTTCACAAGACCTTAGAGAAAATGAGAGCAATGTAGATAAATAAAGGAGGGGAGCATTCCAGATGAGGTAACAATGCTAATGAAGTGTCCGTGGGTGGTAGAATGGCTGTGAAGTCTTTGTAGAATGGTGAAAACACTTCTGGCTAGATATTCAATGAGATTATGTTTGTGAAATTCCTCTGCAAATTATAAAGCAATGTCAGATATTACTGGGGGTATTTATATTCCTGTGTCAGAGATAATAAGGCATTGTAGATATTGCAATTATCCTGAGAAAAGTTCTTATCCCATCGTTCCCTTTATACTCGGTATATCATTGCACAAAAGTTGTTCAAACAATCACAGCTTCAATTTCATTGGATAGATAAGGTTCTTGGGGGGGATTAGAGATTCTATGTGCAACATATTTTCCACAGTGCTTAGAGATCCTCATTAATGGCATCCAACACTAATGTCACAACTTGTGCCATTGTTGTATATTTTATCTTTCATAGTATCAGGCAGGTGTTTCTAGTCAGGATTGGAAGGAACCATTTGAAGAAGTCATTTGAAACTTCTGGATTCAGTTTGCTCCTGATTGTCCTAAACATTTTTATTACCATCCCTTTGATCAACATTAGTTAAATTGATTCAACTGCAATTGGAACTAAGCCAGGTAGTGAGTTGGCCATGCTATTGCCCATCTACAGCTCCTTGAGAACATCCTTAAACTGTGTTCCTGAACTGTTTCGATGATCAGATCCACTGGGCTTCCTGCTGGGTCCTCCCCTGCAGATTCCGAATCATTGGGTCTGGGATGAGTTCTTCCAGTTTGTCTTGATGATCAGGCAAGCTGGAGAAAATGTATGCAAGACCTACATTATATTCATACGCACAGGAAATAGTCTGGTTAACTCAGGTCACAAATCCTTAACATGATTTTGTAAGATTCGTGAGGCAATAGAGATGTTGTATATAAACTTTTTCTAATTTGATATACAGATGGCAGAAGACTACCTTGACTTAGTACAACTTTATAAAATTTAAAGTCTACCTTTTGTCACAAAATGCATTTATTTCTTGTGAAGTTTAATAGATAAGATCTTTAAAGCAAATTTTCAGGACTTTAGAAAAGATTCATTTGAAATATTGAGGAAATGCTAATTTTCATGTCTTTTTATATCCATTTAATATTATTTTACTCCATATCTTGAGTTTTCTCAAAGCATAACTCACTTTTTAAATAGTTTTTATTATTTTCAATCATAATGTAAATTCTTCCTCAGATTTAGTACCAAGAAAAAGCCTGTACCTTCTGGTAGATTAATGGGATTTTGTTTTATAAGATAATAAAGGAACTTGACACCTGAATTTGACCTAATCATAAAACACTCCACTCCTAAATACAATCAACATGTAAATATATCTATATAAAACAACACTATCTGTAAACTCATCAAAACTGGCTGACCTATCATTTATATTTTTCTGACCCAATAGTCAAAATACCTAGGAAAGTAAATTCATGAGCTCGTTGCTGCAAAAAGTGACAGTTTGTCCCTGGCTTTTGTTACATTCATATATTGTATATGCATATTTTGTAAAAGGATTTCACTCTGCTTTGAAATGTTCCAAACAGTTCCTCTATAGTTATACACCTGTGAAAGCACCATAG